GAATGACCACGTGGAACCTGGAGAAGAATCACAGAAATCGATGTACAGAAAAGTGGGAAGACATGGAATAACATCAAGAAGCTAGCCCAGGATAGAGAAAGGTGGAAGGTGTTTGTCGGTGGCCTATACCTTGGTGCAGGGTGAGAAAGGCAATGGTTGGTAAACAGAATTGTGTGGAAAAGATGCTCAGAAAAACCGTTTGTTGTGTCACCGCTGAATACTGTGTCTAAAAAAGATGGTCCTTATCGGTTGATTTTGGATTTAAGACACTTGAACAGTTTTTGTACACCAAAGAAGTTTCTGAATGAGGATATCAATTCAGTGTTAAACATAGTGAGACATAAAGACAGCCTGGTGACTTTTGATATTAAGGTATTTTCCATATTCCAGTGCATAAGGATTTCACACAGTTTCTGGGATTTGAGTGGAACAATTCTTTCTACAAATTCATTGTATTACCCTTTGGTGCCAACTTTAGCCCAAATTCCTTCTGTAATATCATTCGAACAAATGTTCAGTATTTTAGAGAACAAGCATTCCGTATATTAGCACATGTGGCCGATTTCATTCTATGTGGAAGTGATGACACTCAGATATCTGAACGTACAACGTCTGTGACTACTTGCCTGGACAGTAAGTGGAAAGAGCAGTTAATGAACAACCTAGGATGGTCGAACAGGGCAACGTCATACTTGAATAAGTCGCTGGCACCTTCCACATTGCAACTGTATAATGCATATATTCTTATGTTGCAGGAGTTTTGTGTTGAAAATGACTTTGAATTTCCTGCCTGAATGGAACAAAGGCCGGCTGTCATAGTTGAATTTCTGTGTCATAAGGCTGAGCACTCCGATAGGCCAGAATCAATGCTCACATCCATTTTAGAAGCCCTTGCGCAATTATGCCCAGCTTTGGGCTCGAACCCGTTGGCCAAAACTCTTCAGAACCTGAAGCTAGCATTGGTTAAACTATGCACAACAAGAAGCAAAGGGCGCACGCCCATCATGCACACACAAGCTTGTGTAACGTAATTTGAGGCTTGGGGTGAGAACTCGCAGTTGTCACTGAAGAGGTTGAAACGAAAGGCAATTGCTCTGCTTACTCTTTGTGCCAGGTGCAGACCTCCGGATATCAAATTTACATGTCGAGACACACAGTTCAGTGAAGATGGTTCAGCAACTCTTTCTTTTTTTGGATAAAAAATGACAAGGATCGAACTGGTTTTGAAATGCTCATACGCCCAGCACTGAATCCACTCGTTGACTCCATAACGTGCATCAGGAGTGACATGAGTAGAACACAGGACATGACACAGGGGGGCGGGTCTTGTTTCTGTTGTACCCATTCCCCAATTAATCATTTACGGACAATATCTTATCAGCTGATGTTTAATGTGGACTATATGATTTACAAAGAGCATGGACATGTTAATGTGGTCCAATAGTTGGAACTGAGCAATGCTCTATAAGGAGTTGTCTCCCAGCATTAATATCTGAATTATGGGCTCGTTTTATGCTTCATTTTAAACATCTCTATACCCTAACTGTAGAAAACTGTGTTTGGTTGGTTCTGCATGTTTGCGATACTGCCATACATGTAATATTCTTTGTTTGAAGTTTTGTGTTGTTATACACGGTTTTCCCGGATACACTCACAGCGCTGAGCGGAGCAGTGTGTCTCTCTATTTAGGCATATTGTTTATTACAAATTTTTGCTACAAAAATTTGTCTTTGGCAATTGATTTTGACATCAGCATGACTT